TCCACCAGAATCAAACCTTGGATGTCTCCAGCCTGGCTTCGGACCCCTGCCAGAGCTATTCAGGTGGGGGCCGGAAGGGGAGGGGGGGAGTCCGAGACCCGTGCCTCCAGAGCAGCTCTCATCCCAACAGAAGAAAGACCCCAACGTTAGAAAGCTGGACAGGATGACTAAAGACTGAATCCCGCCCACTTCCTGTCAGGGCTCAGCAGCAGGGACATCCCACCCTTCGGCACCAGGAGGGCAGCCAGGGGGGCAGGATACCTGCATGCCATCCAAGCGGGTGACGTGAGAACTTTCTGGTAGTGCTGGAAAGGAGCATTCTTCAAAGGCCTCCCCTCTGGAGAAGGCAGGGTCTTCGGCCAAGGGTGTCTTGCTTTCTTCCATTCCACATCTGGGAAACACGAGAGCCACCCCCCCACACACACATACAAAGCTCTTTGGATAGTGTGGTGAAATGACTCTATAGACTCTATAGACTCACTTCACCCAAAGAGTGATTAACACTTGGAATTCACTGCCACAGGAAGTGGTGGCAGCTACAAGCATGGACGGCTTCAAAAGGGAATTAGATAAGCATATGGAGCAGAGGTCCATCAGTGGCTATTAGCCACAAGGCATAGATAGGGACTCTGGGGCAAGTGATACTCTGTCATCTTGGTGCTTGGGGGGGTCAACAGTGGGAGGGCTTCTAATGTCCTGGCCCCACTGGTGGCCCTCCTGATGGCACTGGTATTTTTGGCCACTGTGTGACACAGAGTGTTGGACTGGATGGGCCTTTGGCCCGATCCAACATTGGCATCTCTTATGTTCTTATGTTTTCCCCTTGCATCCCTGTTTCTACAGGTTACACCTCACCCTCAATTCACCTGACCCTTAATAGGGCAGCGAGAAGACATAAGAATAAGTCTCTGCCCCAAGGAGCTTCCAGTCTCCCTTTTGAAAGATCAGCAGACAACAGAGGGAAGAAAGAAGGGAAGGCAGAAGCCAGAGACTCCCTAAGGACAGACTAGAGAACTCTAGAAGGTTGATTTCTCGAATTCACTTGTTCCAGGAGCACCTCACTCCGACACCACAAACCGAGTACCTGAATCATGCCTTGTGGGAGAACATCATGAACCTGGGTACTGGAGCGGGTGAGGGAGGGGAAGCCTCTTCCTCCTCTTCTCACTCCTGGGCCAGGTGCATCCACTGAGGGAGGAAGGGGGAAGCTGGGTCAAACTGGTGAGGGGGTTGTGGGTGGGGAGAAGCAAACACTGAACCCTTTCCTGGGTTTTTAGGATAGAACTGTGAATATGGCAGGAAGAGATATAGAACAAACAAATGCTGAAAATGTAATGATAAAAATGACAATTTTCACATAATCTCTGAAACATCAAAACCATGGGAGCCTTTCTGACCTTGCTCACCAGGCGAGAGCCACCACGGAGAAAGTGCATGAGCAGGCAGCTGCCAAGGTTACCGATTTGCAGGGTGGCACCTTTCAAAGGTCTTGCTCAAATGACCAAGGTGTAGCAGCAGAGCAGAGTGGGAGAGACCGTACTGAAGGTATGTGCACAATAGGCCATTCGTGGCTTTGTCGGTGACATGGAACCTTGAACTGAACTTGGTAAATGATCATGAATGAATGGAGATGTTACAGAGAGGCATTGCATGCGTGTGACCCCTTTTGCCCAAGAGTAGCTAAGAGGAGTATCTGAGCTGTCTTTAAGGGCAGACCCATATACTATGCATTACAATAGTCTAGCCTCAATATTCCATTCATCTAGCCTGGAAAATGTTTCAGTTTGGAAACTGCCAAATATCCATACTATTGTATTTGTAATGGCATCAACTCAGCGTTAAAAGTTTTATACAACAATGAATAATCCAAAATGGAAAATGCTCAGCGGAAAAAGAAATAGAGCACTGCAAAAAAATTTCATCCTGCACTGCTGCTCTCAGCCTCAACCTCCTTGAACAGAGCAATCCAAATTCTGCTTGAAATCCCTGACTTCCAGGGCGTGACTCTGCCCAGCCATGTGGTATAATTCTTCCAACTCATAAGAACATAAGAGATGCCAATGTTGGATCAGGCCAAAGGCCCATCCAGTCCAACACTCTGTATCACACAGTGGCCAGAAATACCAGTGCCATCCGGAGGTCCACCAGTGGGGCCAGGACATTAGAAGCCCTCCCACTGTTGACCCCCCCAAGCACCAAGATGACAGAGCATCACTTGCCCCAGAGTCCCTATCTATACCCTAACTCCAGCCAGGCTCCTGGTTGAAGGAGGGAGAGGACATTGAAGACAGATCCTGCCCAGTGCCTCAAGCAGCCTCACATTCCAGGTCTGATCGGAGACTCCTGCAGAGATACTGAGACTCTACAGAATCCAAAGCATGGAGGACAAGATGGAGCCCTCTGGGCTGCCTGGCATGGGTCAAGCAGGGCTCCCTCAACACCCTCTCCAGGACCAATCAGCCAGGCAGAGCCGGAAGCACCACAGGATGTATCCCCAATCTCCACCTTGGTTACTCAGCACAGCAGGATACTCTGGTCTATGCTAAGGTATCAATGGAGACGCGCCAGAGATCCTCTCCACCAGGGCTCAACCAGTCCCAGGCACCAGGGCGCCACGGCACCTAGAAATTTCACTGTGGCACTGAGGATTTTAATCAGTCCTTTATTATAAGTGCCTCTCGGTGACTCTCAGTAGATGCACAGTATTTATTCAGGGGAGAGATAGAGGTTAGCTTTATGTTATGATGACAGCCAGGGTGACCCCACATTTCTTTATATACTAAAAAGCTTTTGTTATATCTTTAAGGAAAACGAGGAACAATGAAGAGTTTAAGAGTATGTTTTGCGATAGCAGTAATGTATGGTCATGAAAAAATAAAATCCTAAGTGCTGAACAGTAAGCTTGGGTCTTACATTTTTTGGGGGGTGGCTCCTAAAGCCAAAGGAGCTGCGGTGGCTCAAGTGGTTAAGACGCTGAACTGCAGGCTGTGGAAGGTCGGTAGTTCAGCAGTTCGAGACCCGAGTGTGCCGCATGATGGAGTGAGCTCCCGTCTCTAGTTCCAGCTCCTGCCAACCTAGCCGTTCGAAAGCAAGAAATTGCAAGTAGATAAATAGGGACCACTTCGGTGGGAAGGTAACAGCATTCCGTGCGCCTTGGTGTTGAGTCATGCTGGCCACATGACCACGGGAACGTCTTCTAACAGCGCTGGCTCTTCGGCTTTGAAACGGAGATGAGCACCGCAACACTAGAGTCAGACTCGACTGGCTTTCGAGCAAGGGAACCTTGACCTTTACTTAAAGACAAAGAAACTTTGTCAAGGCCTGCTCTCTACCCCTCCCCCAGAGCAGATCTCCCCTCACTGAAACAGCTGCAGTTCCAAAAATCTGCCTGAAATGTGGGTTGAGTAGGAACCCATATTCAGATTTTACAGCTATGGGTTAGTGCCAATTATCCATGTATTTGGGTTTTTTCAACCCTGAGATGGTGCTTGGGAACACAGAAAGACATGTGCATCCATCGGCCACTAAAAATGAAACTTTTATTCTCTCTTCTGTTACTCTGTTCAAGAACCCTGATCGGTGGAGGCTTTGGTGCTCTTGGTGCTCACCCACTCCGATTGTGGGAAGAGGGCGCCTGTCAGGTCGTCTCCCTCACCCAGCCTCCCTCTTCTCCTTCCCCTTCCTGCTCCACCTTCTTCTTTTTCTCCTGATGCCCAGCCTCCCTTCGCCCACCTGTTTCCACGTCTGGGACGGTCAAGTGAGACTTGAGACCACTGCTGAGCATGACCGTGGATGCTGCCTCCGCCTCACGTTACCCTATAAATGTGATGTATGTATACCTTCTCCTCAGAAAAACCAAAAATTAAAAGTATGGCTTTGGTATCCCCACATCAACTAAAAAAAATTAATGTTAGAGACACAACCAATCCAAGACCTACCATATACCAGCAAAGTCCAGAGATTTCCATACTTAACAGTCCATTAAACATTATGCGCATGAAGGGTCTCACCCCAGAGGCACACTATTTATTCTTTACAGCAAATCCTGTGAGGTATGTTAGTGACTGGCCAAATGTGGACTGGAACTCAGATCCACCCTGCTGTATCCCCACACTCTGGCTCTTGAACGTAAAACACAGGGATCGGGCAGGGAGGAGGAGGCCTGGGTACAGCAAGAGGATTTCTTTCTTTTACAGACCATTTTAAAAAACGCATAACATCCTTGCAATGGACTATCATTTTAAACGTTTCCTTATCATCAGTCTGTAAAAAACCCCACAAAACACAGAAAAGGGCATTTGACTTCTCCCTCCTGATGCTGATTTGTGAGAATCAAGGGGGATTCACATTTCAAAACGTTCACTTACAAACTCCAAGGATACCCACCGAGTTCTAGGATGTTGTTCTGGGCACCTTTGAACATACTGAGTTTTCTTTTGAATCTGAATTAATCCCACAAGTGGGACCCTGAAAACTTCACAGCTGCCAGAGCCCGCTACATCTGGGCAATCAAAAAACACCCTCCACAGAACTAATCCAGGGCAGTTCAAGTGGAAAGTTTTACTCTTGTGTGGATTCTGAGGAAAATGAGGGTCTGATCTCTGCCTCAGGTTCTTCCACATGCTGAGCATTTATGAGGTTTCTCTCAGGTGGATTACTCAGTGCTTAAGGAGGGCAGAGCTGGTCTGGATCTCCTTCCACCCTCAGAGCACATCTTTGCTTTCTTCCCTGAGATCTGTTTGTGGCTTCGATCACGGCTAAAGTTCTTTCCACGATACCAGCACTTATACTGTTTCTCCCATACGAATCTTGTATGTTTCTATGGCTATAGTAAGGTTTCTTTCCAATAGTTTTTTATGGTTTCACCTCTGTGTGGACTCTATGGTTGCTGTTGATGTATGCAATATGAGATGAGGTATTGTCACAGGCTTAGCAGCTACACAGTTTGTGCTCATGTGGATTCTTTGATGCCGTTGAAGATGGCCACACTGAAGGAATCTCTTTCCACACTCTGAACATTCAAAAGGTTTCTCACCTGTGTGGGTTCTTACATGCTGTTGAAGATTGCTACACCGACCAAAGCTCTTTCCACACTCTGAGCAAGCAAAACTTTTCTCCCCTGTATGGGTTCTTTGATGCCGATGAAGATCACCACTCAACTTGAAGCCCTTTCCACACTCTGAGCATTCAAAAGGTTTCTCACCCGTGTGGACTCTTAGATGCTGTACAAGATGGCAACTCTGAATAAATTTCTTTCCACACTCTGAGCATTCAAAAGGTTTCTCACCCGTGTGGACTCTTAGATGCTGTACAAGATGGCAACTCTGAATAAATTTCTTTCCACACTCTGAGCATTCAAAAGGTTTCTCACCCGTGTGGACTCTTAGATGCTGTACAAGATGGCAACTCTGAATAAATTTCTTTCCACACTCTGAGCATTCAAAAGGTTTCTCACCCGTGTGGACTCTTAGATGCTGTACAAGATGGCAACTCTGAATAAATTTCTTTCCACACTCTGAGCATTCAAAAGGTTTCTCACCCGTGTGGACTCTTAGATGCTGTACAAGATGGCAACTCTGAATAAATTTCTTTCCACACTCTGAGCATTCAAAAGGTTTCTCCCCTGTGTGGATTCTTTGATGCCACTGAAGATTGGCACTCCAATTGAAACTCTTTCCACATTCTGAGCATGCAAAAGGTTTCCCCTCTCTGTGGGTTCTTTGATGCCGATAAAGGTTGGCAATCCAATTGAAACTCTTTCCACACTCTGAGCACTGAAAAGGTTTTTCCCCTGTGTGGGTTCTTAGATGCTGTTGAAAATTGCAACTCTGATTGAATTTCTTTCCACACTCTGGGCACTGAAAAGGTTTCTCCCCTGTGTGGGTTCTTTGATGCCGTTCAAGATGAAAACTTCTAATGAATTTCTTTCCACACTCTGAGCATTGAAAAGGTTTTTCCCCTGTGTGGGTTCTTTGGTGTGCAAGGAGCTGAGATTTGTATCTGAAGCACTTTCCACACTGAAAGCATTTCGATGCCTTCATATTACTATGCTTTGGAAAGTGTACATTACCCTTTTTTCCATCAGAGAAACTCTTTCCACTCCCTGAGCAGATAAATTGCTTCTGTTCCATATGAATTCTTTGATGTAGGATGAAGTTTGCTTTATGAGAGAAGCTCTTGCCACAGGGTGAGCAGATATACACTTTCTCCCCTGTATGGATTCTTTGATGTCTAAGAAGCTCTGATGTGCAAATAAAGCTCTTTCCACACTCGGGACATTTACAGGACTTTCCCCCACTGTTCTTTTGCAAATGGGTATTATATTGGGCTTGATTTGAGAAGTCCATTCCACACTCCAAGCATTTGTATGTTGCCTCCCCCGTGTGAATTACTTCACAAAAATACCCTCCTTGGCAAAAATAGGGTTGATCTCCCTTCTCAGACAGGTGACTTCCTTCTTCTCCCTTTGCTCTATCTAGATTTTTGAAGTTTCCTGTCAATCCTTGATTCTCGACTCTTACAGATGATAACCCATGCAGTTCCTCATCTTCCTCGTTCTGCTGATCATCCCCTGTGAGAATAAACAGAGAGACCCCCATTAGCATCTACACAAGGCGGTCTGACCGTTGGTCAATCAAGGTCAGAACTGACTATTCAGACTGGCAGCGGCTCCCCAGGGTCTCAGAAGAAGGTCTTTCACATTCACTTATGGCCTAATCTTCTTAACTGGCAATGCCAGGGACTGAATCTGGGACCTTCTGCATGCAAAGCAGAGGCTCTTCCAATGGGCCACAAATTCTACCCCCAATAACTTTCTGTGCTTGATGGTTCAGTACAAAAATCTGTCATAAAATTCAGGGAGTTCTGTGATAGGTGTAACAAGGGGTATGAGTTGGCTTTCACCTTCTGAAAAACAGCGGGAAAGCCTTGTCAAAAATAACCCAAAGAGGACTACCCTGATTTCTGGAGGGGGAGGTGGCAAGGAATTTGGACAGCCCAAAAGCTTCGAGGTGACCCCTGTAGGAAAGAGTAGCTGGAACTTGGGCTTTACCTAGCTGACCTCTTCTTTAGTCACCAGCCCTTCTCCCGAGAACATCAAGTCCTTTGGGGAATCAAAGGACAGGGAATCAGCCCTTGACAGGAGAGAAGGAGCCACTTAAGATATCAGCCCCAGAGGGAGCTCCCGAGTCTCCCTGATTTCAGGCCCCAGAAGGCCTCCCTCCCTCCTTACCCAGCAGGCGGGCCTCTCCGCTCTCCTCTTCTTTGATGTCCATCAAGGAATGCCTCTGCTCACTTTCAGACAGATCCTGGCCTGCCTTGGAGACATTCCCAGCTGCCTCCTCCAAGGGCATCTACAACAGCAGAGAGGGATGGACCCTTTCAGGGCAGAGCAACAAAGACTGCGGGGAACGCAGAGGGGAGGGTTCTTTCCCCCGCCCTGTCAATGGCAGATTTATCAGTATGTTATACAGAGTTTCCTTAAAGAATTTTAAAAGGTCTGAGTACCACATTGCAAAATAATCCTAGGGTAGTGAGTTCCATGAATAAGGCACCACACCACCAAGAAGGCCCAAGACATAATGGCAGTAAGTTAACTAGATGAGAGGAGGTCTTCAGGATTCTCAGGGCCACACCTCTCACCTGTGGAGATGGCATGGGGCCCAGGAATCTTGAGCTCCCAGAACCCCAAGAACTGCTCTTTTATGGGGAAGGTGGCCTCTTAAATATGGGCCTACCCACTGTTTTTCGAGTTGAGAAAGAATTCTGCCCCGCCTAAAAACTCTGAATTCATCTTCCAGGGAAATGACACGACAGACCTTTCCAATCACACCTTAGCATTCCTCTTTTCTTTCCTTCCTGAGATTAAGTCAGATCTCAGCCCCTGCTCCACCCCAGCTCCTCCCACAAGCACGACCCACACAGCAGAAGGGCCTCACCTGCTTTTCCTGCATCAAGAGGAACTCCTCGGCCAGGGCCACCGCCTGGGAGCAGCTCTCAGGGCCACTTTCCCTCACCTGGCTCTGGATCTCCGGGGGCAGGACGCTCAGCAACTGCTCCAGGACCAAAAGCTCCAGGATCTGCTCCTTGCTGCGATTCTCCACTCTCAGCCATCCGCGGCACATTTCCCATAGTTGTCTGTAAGCCCCCTGTGGCCCCTCGGCCTCCTGATAGCAGAAATGCCTGAAATTCTGACGCTGCTTCTCCCTGTTCAAGGCTTCCCTGTGCAAGATGGCCGCCTTCACCTTCCCATAATCCTTCCTGTCTTTGACATCCAGACTGTTAAAGGCCTGCTCAGCATCTCCACTGAGGGCTGGCAGCAGTCGGGTCGCCCACTCTTCCTGGGGCCACCGACAGGCCTCGGCCACTTGCTCAAAGGCAGCCAGAAAGGCCTTGGCATCCTCCCAGGGTGAAGGTTTCTCTGGCAAGGGGGGGATCCTGCATGGAGAGTGAGAGGGCTCCATTGTCTTGAGGAATTCCTGCCACTGGACGTCCCACAGCTTGAGGGAAAGGGATCCCTCCCCTGCAGGCTGATTCATTGGATGTCCTGTTCTCCTCCGCAGGATTTCCCTGGAGTTCGCAGCCTGGAGGACATGAGGGGCTACTTCTCTCCCCTCTGATACTTCCCCTAATTTGGGAATGGTGGGAGTCTCTTTCTGCATTCCTTGCCCTGGATGATCACTCAGTACTGGTGCTGCAGGAACAGAATATGTTATCCTCTTCCACACGGAGCTTCTCCCTGCAGAAAAGTTGGGTACAGGAAAGAGAGAGGAGAGACACACTTGGTCACTCAGCTTCTGGTATCATGGCCCCCAGGTGATTTTTCTGCCCAGATCAATTAGGCACAATAAAGGCATCAGTATGATTTCATATGGTTACTTCTTTATTACATGAGTAAAGTAAGATGCTAATTATGAGGTTTTCAGATTTCCCTCCAGTCCTGGAAAAGTCCTTCTAAAAATTCCTTCTTATGGTTTATAAAACATCAGGAAGGCTGTTCCATCAGAGAAGAGATGCCAGAGACAACATCCTATTTCCTTTGTTTGCTGGGTGGCAACGTCAAAGAACTTCCCTCCTATTAGCAGAGCTGGCACAGAGGCTTGGTGGCAGAGCACCTGCTTGGCATGCAGAAGGTCCCCGGTTCAATCCCTGGCATCTCCAGTTAAAGGGACCAGGTAGGAGGTGATGTGAAGGCCTCTGCCTGTGACCCTTGAGACCTCAGAGTAGACAAGACCAGCCTCAACAGAAGGGACCTTTGTGTGTATAGTGTAAAGGGACTGGCTGCCCTGCAGAGTTATGGGCTCCCTGGTGATAACCGGGCCCTTGAACTGAACCTCGAAACTGATGGGGAGCGGATGGGGCAATTACTAAAGAGGCTCTCTCTGCCTAACTCCAGATAGTGCTTGCGCTATAGTATTCTGCATTGCCTGAAGGTTCCAGGTTGGCTTCAAGGGCCATCCCCTGTAGAGTGTAGTGCAGTAGTCTAGCCTCAAAGCACCACCTCTCTTGAGCAATGCTCCCTCTAAGGCATGGAGTCTTGTGAGCGAAAATTCTACTTTGTGAGCTACTGGCATTGAAGTGGTGAGTGAGCCATTTGGCTACTGCATAAATTAGTTTGCTCTGGAGCCCTCCCTGAGCTGAGACAAAAATGTGTGAGCTGGAGCTAAAAAACTGTGAGCTAGCTCACACTAACTCAACTTAGAGGGAACATTGCTCTTGGGTCTCTGCCAGCTATGTTATTTTGGTTGGCTTCAGAGGAGATGCCAGAGTAGGACAGAATCGGGAATCTCCCATGTGCCATGCGTGGGCTGTGGCACTGAGCTATGGCTCCTCCTCCCCATCACATAAAGACCCCCATCTACGTGCCACCTGCCCCTCATGTCTCACACCCGGTCTGTCTTACCTCTGAGGATCCCGAAGGAGGGGCTGCAACTCTTAGAAGGCAAAACTGTTCCTTCTGCACTTGGCATTTTTATTTTGAAAGCTCAACAACAAGAACTTCAAAACTCACATCCTACTGAGAAGGACCAACAGTTCATCTTCTGAGAATTCTCTCTTCCCCCCCCAAAGTGCTCCAGTTTAGTACACTGTCTGGAAACATGCTCATGTGTGGCTTTCTTTCCAGCCCCACCGTCCAGCCCAGGGGTGGCCAAACTGCAGCTCAGGAGCCGCATGCAGCTCTTTCACACAGTCTAATTTAATGTTGGAGCTGCAGTGGCTCAAGTGGTTAAGACGCTGAACTGCAGGCTGTGGAAAGTTGGTAGTTCAGCAGTTCGAGACCCGGGTGCCGCATGATGGAGTGAGCTCCCGTCTCTAGTTCCAGCTCCTGCCAACCTAGCAGTTCGAGAGCAAGAAATTGCAAGTAGATAAATAGGTATCACTTCGGTGGGAAGTTAACAGCGTTCCGAGCGCCTTAGTGTTTAGTCATGCCAGCCACATGACCACGGATAACGTCTTCGGACAGTGCTGGCTCTTCGGCTTGGAAACGGAGATGAGCACCGCAACCCTAGAGTCGAACTTGACTGGCTTTCAAGCAAGGGAACCTTTACTATTTACATATGAAAACATTTATGCTCTGCCTTTCCTCGTGGCTCAAGGCAGCTTACAATAATAGTTTAAAAGATTGTTAAAAGTTTGCATATTTTCCAATAAAAACTTGTGTGGTGATATTTGTTCCTGTTTCGTGGCTCTCAAACGTCTGACATTTATTTTGTGTGGCTGTTATATTAAGCAAGTTTGGCCACCCCTGGTCTAGCCTCTCTAGGCTCTCCAGGGTCTTAAGCTTTAGTTTTTCACATTACCTACTGCCCAGTCCTTTTAACTGGAGATGCCTCGGGCTGAATATGGGACCTTCTCCACACAAAGCAGATGCTCTTTCACTGAGCCACAACCAGCTTTCCCTCCAAGCTCAGTTAGTGTGAGCTAGCTCACAGTTTTTTTAGCTTCTGGCTCACACATTTCTGTCTTAGCTCAGGAAGGATGGTTCCAGAGCAAAGTAATTTATGCAGCAGCCAAATTGCTCGCTCACAACTTTAATGCCAGCAGCTCACAAAGTAGAATTTTTGCACACAAGACTCCACAGCTTAGGGGGATAGTTCGCCACAACCCCCCTCCTTTTGATTTTCTGTGATAGATATGTAAGTAGAAAAATATGTCATAAAATGCAGGGAGTTTAGTGATGTGTGGCGCACAGGCCATGCGTTGGTTTTCATCTTCTGAAAAACAGAGGGAAAGCCTTGTCAAACAAACCAAACAGTCCGAACGGGAGCACCCTGGCTTCTAGAGGGGGAAGGGGGAACAACCTGGAAAGGCCCAAAGGCTCCTGGGTGACCCCTGTAGGAAGGAGGCGATGGGAATTGTACTTTGTCCAGCCGGGCTCTTCTTGAGTCACCAGCCCCTCTCCCGAGAACATCAAACCCTTTGTGGAATCAAAGGACAGGGAAGCGGCCCTTGACAGGAGAGAAGGAGCCACTGCTGGGCTCAGCCCCTGAAGGAGCTTCCGAGACTCCCCGCTCTCTGGCCCCAGAAGGCCTCCCTTCCTCCCTCCTTACCCAGTGGGCCGGCCTCTCCGCCCTCCTCTTCTTTGACGTCCATCAAGGGATGCCTCTGCTCACTTTCAGACAGATCCTGGCCCGCCCTGGAGACGCTCCCAGCCATCTCCTCCATGGGCGCCTGCAACAGCAGAGAGGGACAGGCCCTTTCAGAACAGAGTGAAAAAGATTTTGGGGGGGGAGGCAGAGGGTCCTTCCATCCCCAGACTTTACCAGATTTCTTAGAATGTAATACTGAGAAAGTGGGACAAAGGTTCCCTAAGGAATACTGAAAATGTTGAACACCAAATTAAAAAACACACCTAAGGTAGTGAATTTCACAAAGAAGGCGCCACCACCAAGAAGGCCCAAGACATAATGGCAGCCACTGAACTGTATGGGAGGAGGGAGATGGGAGGAGGTCTTCAGGACTCTCCAGGCCACACCTCTCTCTTGTGGAGACGGCGGCGGGGGGGGGGAAGGAAACTTGAGCACCCAGAAACCCAAGACCCGCTCTTTCAGGGGGAGGGTGGACTCCATCAATGCAAGCCCATCCACTGGAACCCAGCTTGAGACATAATTCTTCCCCACCTAAACACTCTGGATTCGGCTCCGAGGGAAATGCCCCAACCAGTCTTTCCATCGCACCCTGGCTTTCCCTCTCTCCCCCGTTATATGGACAGAGATCTCACCCCTGGCTCTACCCCAGGCCCTCCTGCACTCAGGACCCCACACAGTAGAAGGGCCTCACCTGCTTCTCCTGCCTCAAGAGGAGCTCCTCGGCCAGGGCCACCGCCTGGGAGCAGCTCTCGGGGCCGCTCTCCCTCACCCGGCTCTGGATCTCCGGGGGCAGGACGCTCAGCAGCTGCTCCAGGACCAAGAGCTCCAGGATCTCCTCCTTGCTGTGATTGGCCACCCTCAGCCACCCACGGCACATTTCCCGCAGTCGGCTGTA